GAAGAAAATATATTCAGTAAGGCCATATAAAATTGAAATCTTGGTTCTCAGGCCCGCGCGCATCCGTTTTGAGGTAGCCGCATTGCCGATTTTATTGTATTTTTGATAAAATAAAAAGTTGGTATTGCGGAGACCAATCCGGGAAAAAAAATTCCGACCTCATTTGTTTTGTAGTTTAGTATTCAGATATCACTTCCGGTAGCCATTTACAATGAGATTTTGGCTATTTCGTTTGAAAATACATTCGAGGACATTACCTACGATGTTTACACGCTGTTAAGCAATGGATAAAGCAGAAATTTTGACAAGAAATGGAAAGTATATCTGTGATTAAAAAAATTATCTTTATGGTAAAGAAAATTCGGAAATTAAAATTAAAAAAAAGACCTCCCTCATCTACTTTATTGCCAATAAAATGAAAAATAAAATGCCGCCCTCCCGCATCTGTTTTGGAGAAAATTGGCCTGAGAACCAGGGAATTAAATTTAGATAGCCTAATATACATGTATCTGTACATGCAAGTAATTCAAGTTTTGACATTACAGAATACATGTATCAAAAAATGCAGTAGAGGTTTTACCATTGCTACTTGTGGGTCGACGATTTTCATGACGATCTGAGCCTGCAGCAGTGCGTAGGCTAACTGTGGATTCTGGAGCAGCATGTTCCTGGCCTCAGTAGGGTTGTTCTGGATACATAACTGTAAGAAAGAAAATCATATGACCCTTAATGAGCCACGCAAATGGTCACAAAAAGTTGTCTTGGAAAGTACAACTTGCTCTAAAATACGAGGGTCATTCAAAAAGTTCGTAGACTGTTGTCATAACTTTTTTATCTAACGTCATATTATAACCAAATTTGGTACACATATTTAAACAACAGATTCAAATAATTTGAGCCAAAAATTGGAAAATATCTTGATAATTATGAAAATTATCAAAGATTTAAGGTAGAAAAAATGGGGTCACGGAGCAGGGTCAAAATTGACCTGTTTTCTAATTATATGCTTTATAAAGTCTAGAGTCTTACCTATAATAAATGACTCTTAAACGAAATGAAATTGAATTGTTTGAATTTAGAATTGTTCAATTACTTCAGATGGTAAACTTTAATGTAATACATTGCTTCGTTTAAAAGATATCGATCTTAAAAGGCATATAGACTTCATGAAAAAAAGCAATAAACGATGACGTCGAAGGACGTCACGGAGCAGCGAGTACCGACAAAATTTTGTTTTGCATTAGGGAAACTTTTAAAACGAACTCTGAGAATGCTTGAAGAACTAGGAAATAGATACAAAATGTGTTATGATTTGCTTATAGTGGGAATGACTATTTTATTGAGTGTTAGAGACTTGGAATCGGACCATGAACGGTTTGCAATGAAACAAATTATAGTTAAAAATTCTTGTCAAAGAGTAACGTCATACATGTAAAATGTCATGTGCGCTTCACTTTTGCGGAACTTGTGCATGCAAACAAGAGTTATTCTATAAAGAATTTGAAAACATTAATAATTTAACTTAAGGTACTCAAACAATTGTTAGCAAACTAGGTGTAAAGGGCTATAGATTCATGAATTCAGAAGATGCAACAAACCGTGGATGAAATGAAAAGGCAAAGTAGTTTTAAGAAAATAAATTTCTCCTCGTTGTTTTTGACGTCACAGTGTTGTTGACCGTGCTCCGTGGTGACAAAACATGCTATTTTTAAAATTGTCTAACAGGAGTTCCATTAAATCAAATGGAATGAAACTTTACACACTGGCAAAATAAATGTTTTTACATATAAAAATATGTTGATCTAAAATTTTGTTAGAATAATATGATGATGGAGGACATTGTCTACGTATTTTTTGAATGACCCTCGTACAGTAAATCACAATTTGTTTACTAGAACTTAATTTTTGTTTGTGTTATTACATGTACGTGAGACAGTGTGCTTGCAAAAATGTCATGCTCTGTATAATAGTATTCTGTAAGATTATGTAAAGCAATATTACAATTCGTGAAAGTTTTGACTTGCTAATAAATGGACAATGACTATCTCACGAAAAAATAAGTTGACACAAAAATTAAGCGATTTACAGTATTGTATGTATACAATATATGAGTGAATAATACACAAATGGAGTTACCTTCATCTGCTTCATGAGTTCAAACATCTGCTCTGGGGGCAGACTGGCCACAGCTTTGGAGATGGCTTCTGGGGCCTTCTCTGGCTCCACAGGGTCTCCATAGGGACTCTGTTAAAATACAGGAAAAGGATTTAAAATTCAAATGATTTTTCAAAAAATAAAATTGTATCCCAAACAATGCAACCTGACAGCACACATTCATTTCATTTCACTTTCAGCAGACATATCTTATTGAACACTAGGTAACCATCAATGAATCCATCATTTTTATAATATTTTACAGTTTTGTGTTTGCTCTGCTCCCAGTCTTTATTGTTTCAATGAGCCTTGGGCTATGAGCTTGATTAATACCATTTGTTGTCGCTACATTTCATTAATATAACATTTTCCTATACCTCCATGACGGGGCCTCCTAGAGCCTGCTGTAGTCCCTTCATTTCGTCCCTGTTCTGTTCCCCCGCCGCCACCCCCACCCTAAGGGGCCGACCATTGAAGTCGTAGTTGTTCAAGTTCCGCATGGCGCTCTGAGCCGTTTCCACATCCTGGTACTCACAGAAACCATAGCCCTTTGGTTTCCCTGTCTCTCTGTCATAGACTAACCTGTAATATGTAGTCAAATTCATAAATTCATATGAAAACACTAAACAATGGTTTAGTCCACAACTAATATAAAACATATTACAAAGACTTTGAAAAGTGGGAAACACCAATATCTCAGTTGTTGTCCCATTACGGCCATTAATTCGTGATGAATAACAAATCTGACTGCATCAGATATTTATATTTTTATCATAAGTTGCAGATTGCTTTAATTAGCTTCTTGCTAAGTTTTTTTATTCTGCTTATCAAATCATTTGACTATATGAATAGATATGATCAGAAAGTAAAATTAGAGATCATATTTGATTACCGGTATAATAAAAAGAATTTTAAGGCCAAAAGTTGATACCTTATAAAAGGAGTTCCACATCTTTATATCTAAAAACTCAAATAACTCAAGCGACTAAAGGAATGGGGTTTGCCCTAAGAGTAACTTCATGCAATAACACATATACTAGGACAATCTTGTCTGGATCTTACCTGAAACTCACAACTGGACCAGCAGCAGAAAATATCTCCCTCAACTGTTCCTCTGTTGTCTCATAGGGAATATTCCCCACTACAAAAATAACGCATCATCATTTAATTTAATATCTTTATTATGTTTATTTGAACATTTTGAAAGTGTCTTTTTTTCTGTACTAAGTTTTTTTATCTGTCCGGGCAATGCTGTTAGTCGACCCATTATTAACTCATATGGTAGATTAAGAGCTGGCTCTCTCTGTCACCATAACATTGCATAATTCCACTTTCAAATGCTACTTTGGTTCAAAAATGATCAGATTCTGTACATGTCCTTAACAAATTCATTTAACACCAGTTATTCACATGGTATATACATAACATGCTGGATATACAAGCCAATGTGCAGGGATGCATGCATGATCTTCCTCTCAAAGTACCAAGGGTGGCCAAGGTACCCAATGTTTAAACATTTAATTTTTTAAAATTAATATTTCAAATTTACTAAATTTACTTATATCATTCACAGATAACAAACCTATCGAAATATAAAATGAGTACAGTATATATCAATAAATTTTATATAAAATGATAAACCAGGGATCTATATACTAATGGGATATGCAACTACCGCAAGTCTTGCGATATCTCGTAAGACACTTTATTTCGTAAGTCAACTTTTATAAATTATATCTCGAAAGCTATCACATATTTGAACCTGGAATGTGTTGTGCCAGTGCGTGATGTTGTGGGTAGATAAACATGGCGATGTAGGAGTTGCCTATCCCGTTAGTGTATAGGTCCCTGGATAAACTAAAGCCTTCAACCCTAACTTGTCATGGTGTTCAAATGTTTGATTTTTGTCCATTAGGACTAATCATTCAGACTAATCACTTAATCCTTAAATTAATGCTTCTTTCAGAACCATATGCTTTGCAGCAAAATAAACTATATCAGAAAATATATCAGAAAAACAAAATCAGACAAAAATGAATATCCACACCACGGTCCTCTATATCGTAGTAGCGCGTGGGGAGGTATTCTTTTTGGGGTTACATGTTGAACAAATTCGGATTGCTCATAACTTTTCTATAATAATGTCCGATCTTTGTAAATAACACTATTCGTTTTTCATCACTTACCAAATACTGATCTTTGGGCTCTCTCTGCTGAAGTAATAGGTGCATTGGGATCATTTTGCATGTGCATCATTTTGAATGCTTTATTTTCCTTTCATTGAAAGTTTCAATGCTGAATCAGTGAATGCACTACAATGATAACTCCCGAGGACTTCCAATTTCTCATTCAATCTGGTACATCAAAGTGTTTGAAACAACGAGGAAGAACACTATACGTTCAAGAACGTAAATAAGGTCAAGGCAGCAATGAGACACAGCCGACACTTGCAATAAACTTTAGTTTACAAGAAAAACAAGCCATACCCGTCAATTAAAAATTTAAAGATGGCTGGAATGTCATGGAGAGCATATCTGACAAGGTACATTTTTGGAACCTAATTCTTGAACGCCATTAAGGCATTATGATTAATGAATTTGTCTGTGTATTTTGCATGCATCAGTACATGTGCATGTACAGCTAACATGCTATCAGTGCATGTCAATATGTGCTTTGCAAATGGAATATCTAAATTCATTTATAGCTGTTGCACTAAATGTCAAGCATCAGACCAGTGACATGGGCTCTTAATCAGACTATTTACAGTGGCCAAAGCATTAGGCAGTTCATCACTTTCCTTCTAGATGGCTCAGGGAGCAAGTAAGCTCTAGTGAAGTCAGTAGGCAATGCCGGGGAGACCTCTACTAGTAAGTCTCAGGGCCGCTACGGTTACCGGACTGGCTGCTGACAGAAGAGCTGAAAACTTCCTTCTTTTACCTTTTAACCGTTTTTACATTTTAATCTTTCTAACAATGTTGTCAAAGCGCTGCGCCGTTGAGTAATCGTCAAAGATGACGGACCAGCGTACCATGTAGATGTAGATGTAGATGAGAAATAATCAATCTGACTTAAAAATTGCTGAATCCTGAACAATTTATGGATAGAATTGGGAATGAGTACTAATTTAAGTTTATCCTACTTTATAATATATACAATGCGGTGTAATTGCAGCGAGATATCGTAGTTGGGACAAAAAATTTTGGTCTGGTGTCAAGGGACACCAGACCAAAAATTTTCGTCACTACGACATCTCGCTGCATGAGATTAAATGTGGTGGTGTCATGTGCAATGTAGAGTCTCCTTATGGCTTACCCAGATGTTAAATTGGGTTGATTTCAATTCATACATAATCCCCATAATTACCTCAATGTTTTGCCGGGCCAGGCTGGGGATGCTGCATACTGCTGTAAAATGGTACGATGCTGTTATTGGTGCACTGTGCCCGCATACAGTATGCCTGCAAAATATGGCCACACATAATTTTTTACTTTCTAAGTTCATTGCAGTCAGTGCTATCAATATTCTTTGTCAAAGTTAAATAGAATCCGTAACGTATCATATAGCTGTATTAAAAATTGGAACTATTTTTATTAAATTAAAGATATTGACATTCAATGGCAAAGAAACAAACTTTTCCTCCCTTGCGATTCTGAAGTGTCAATTCATTTTGGATTTCTGAGCACAGCTTTATAAGAGTTTCTTTGAATTACAAAATGGCCCCATCATTTACAATTTGTATGAACGGTAGGACCATAATTTGGCCCTATCAATTAGAATTTTCGTTTTTATTCTTGTACTACAAGTAACTTTAGGTCAATGTTATGAACTAACATGAAAATCAATTTTCAATGTTCAATGATAAAGGGAATATTAATTATTCTTAATTCATTCCTAAATAAAAAATAAAGTACATGTAGCTGCATGAGAGTTTGATCACTATGTTCATTAGCATATATTCTGAAATCATAAACAAATTGAGTCTTACTTTGGTCTGCCTGCTTTATTGCATTGCAGGAAATTTAAAGGTCCAGATTAACAGATAAGAAATATTTAATGTATCTTTTAAAAATCAAATTGAGAACTTGGTCTGTTATGAAAACCATGATTATAATAATATAATTCACCGCATGTCAGGTTTAAACTGAGAAAAATTATTTCTCTGCAAAATGCACCAATCATTCCAGGCCTTACCGGTAATTAACTTGCTGTCAGGCTAGTGAAAAACTTTAGACTAACCTGAATAGACCTGATGGGCGTGTGGATTAAGCTACAGAATAATTAAATGTCAGTGTTACCATAAATACAATGTTGCAATCTAAAAAAAATTAATTTAGTTTAATAGTGAAACACATATGTATAGATATACAGGAAATTTTAGTTATGTTAGAGATATATGTAAATATTTCAAATTACCTTTACCTAAAAAAATCTCCATTACATGCATGTACCTCAAATTCAACTCTAGGTTTAATATGTACAGTGTAATGGAGAGGAAACTTGTACATTAATTCCAACATTTAGCATCTTTGCAAGCGAAGGATTTTCAGTCCACTTCACTCCCAACAAACTCCAGGGTTTGTGGGGATTTGAGTGCAGCAAAAACCCTTGGCTTGCGAAGATGAACATTTAGTAGCATAACTTATAGCTATGACAATGCTGAGTATTTAAAATAATTCAATTCAATTTCAATTGCATATACAAAAAACATTGAAAAATGAGGAAATGTCTTGATTAGATTTGTGATTTCATAATCTAATTGTGAATTGTATGAAAGCAAAATCCTAGTGTGTTGCCACTGATAGTGAAAATACAGTCTGATGAAATTATGATAGATACATGCGTACTTAAACCACTTAGGTGACGAATTTTAATATGTCAATAAATTTTTCTGAAGTGCCATTTTTTTTTCTTTTTCATATTTACCTGGATTGTTATAACAGTACGGTAAGTAAGTTTGAATAATCTGTTGAACACATGAAAATTGTGTTAATTAAACTTAAATTCATTGTTTTTCAAATTACTTTAAATATTAACAATTGAAAGATTCAAAATAATATTCAAGGCTTTAACAAACAAATAAATTTCAATGTACAAAAAAGTTTTGAAATATGAAACTATATTATAGACATGATAGAGAAAGAAATATTTCTCTCAAATATTTTCTTGTAAAGTGTGAATTCAAAGTGCAACTGACAAAAGCTCATATTAAATGATTTTAGAATATTTGGACAGATCTACAATATACTTTTTTTTAAACTTTAAAATAATGGAGATACTAATCATTTGTTTTATTTGTTGCACATTTATCATGTTGATTGATTTTAATTTACTGTAATTTTTATTATTTACTTGCAGCATTTTTGGGGACCAGGTATGTAAAAGATTTACTTATATTTAGATAAAACGTTAATTGTTTTCTGAATTGACATGCAAGCACATATTTCTTAATCTGTATACAATGGTATAGGTAATTTTCATTTTCTACATTTTTTAACCCAACCCTTCCTGCAAGAAAGTTGGAGGGGGTGTAGTAACATGCTTGGGTGGGTACGGGAGTGAGTGTGTGCATAACAAAAATCAGACAAAAATAGCCTATAATTTTTTGTCAGGATTGATTTCTCTTTTGGGAATACACTTTGTTGTGCCCTTGTTTATCTTAATCATTTTTTCAATTTGTTCAATTAATGTGATGTTTAATCCTGTTAATTAATGATGCTGTTGCTTTTCAGTTGCAAATTGGGCCATTCCTTTGGCAGCTATAGGGGATTTCCAGAAAGACCCAGAACTGATCAGTCCATACATGACCCCAGGTATAATAAAGATAGAAAATATGGCATGCGCGTGTGATATTCACTAATTATGTGATGTTCAAAATTATATTAAAATTTATCATTATGCATAACATAATATTTATTGAAGTTTCACATATTATTCCTAGCTTTATGAACTGTACATGTTTGAAGGAATGAGATCAGGCAAGCATTATTAATTTTTTTTGCACCCTTAACAATTAACCTTGCTTTAACTTTCTTGTTAAGGAAGTTAATTGACATACCCTGATATTGATGATTCAGTAGTAACACACAGAAAGCAAAACAATACTAGTTAGGGCCCCGCAAGGATTTGCGGGTGCCCTATAGTAATCACTCTGTCTGTCCGTCTGTCTCTCTTCCGTCCACAAATTTTCTGTTTTTTTCTAATAACTTTTTTTATGGTTGCCCAATCAAGTTCAAATTTGGTATGGTAGTTCAGTAGGCAGAAATACATATTTTGATGCTAAGTTTTGTTCTCAATGTCTTCTGGTTTGGAGCTGGGGTGGTGGGGTAGATTCCTTTACTATGCATAAGAATGAATGGGCAACTTTTTTTTGGTTGCCCAATCAAGTTCAAATTTGGTATATTAGTTCAGTAGGCAGAAATACATATTTTGATGCTAAGTTTGGTTCTCTATGTCCCCTAGTTTGGAGCTGGGGTGGTGGGGTAGATTCCTTAACTTTAGAATGCATTGGCAAAGAGAGATAACTGCTGAAGATGTTCCCATTGTGAAATGAATGCTGGCTATGAGTCCCTTGGGATTAATTAAGTTTCCTCCTGAAGAAAATCCAGAGCATTATCTTTATCTGTCACATTGAGATGAATTACCACCTCTGTCTGCAAATGAAGTTTGTTTTGAAGTTAAGTCAATTTGGAATGCTATGAACACTGTGAAATGTGGATTTAGGTATAAATTTTTATAATTTATTTTTGTTTAATAGTTATGATTTCATTGAATTCTAAAAACAAGAAATAGATTAAAGAAGATTTTTTGAATTACTTTTTTTACTTTATGTTAATTAATTTTTAAGGTAGTTTTATAAAAACCCCATTCTATCATTAATACTGAAAAAGTTCTTATTGTAACTTTAGAAGAAAATGATGAGAGAGGTACAATTAATCCTTTGGGATCAATTATCTAGCCTGCTGCAGAAAATTTAGTAGGCTTTTCTTTATCTTTAAGATTAATGAAAACCTTTGTTTGCAACTGCTGTTTGTTTGAAGTTAAGGTCAAGCCTTCATGATATTTGCATTCATTGAAGGCTGGCATTCTATATAACACAAGCTTCATAATTGTTTAATACATTCAATGTTAAATTGTTCTTTACTGCCTAATGTAAATACAAGGATATTATTTTCAGGTTTTTGAATATTCAGGAATTTTTAAAAATACAGTTTTAAGAATACAGTTGCTGTTGCTTATTCTTCGTACATTTTTTAATCATTCCGTAAGCTGCACCCTTTTAATTCTACCCCATGGCGGGGCCCTTGCTGACTGGTCAGTTTTCTAGTTATACTTCTGTTATTTGAAAAATCTGACAAAATTTGCAATGCCCATTTAATATTAGAGCCTTAATTGGTATATATTTACATATTTTGTTTAAGGTTTGAATTGTTATTAGCAAGAGATATCATTGTTAAAACTTTTCTAGAAATTGGCATTATCTTGCAAGTTTGTACTTTGCAGTCAGTTTACTTCTTTTAAACAATGAGTGCTAACACCCTTACACTTACCTTTAGTGCATGTTTAATTAATATCAGTAAAATGATTACAGTTGTGATTAGAGGATGAATTCCTTGTAATTCTGATTTCAGCCCTCATTGGTTACTCCTCGGCCTTTGCCAGGTTTGCATGGATGGTTAAACCTCGAAACCTGCTGCTCTTGGCGTGTCATATGACCAACATTACTGCCCAGTGTGTCCAAGCCTGTAGATACGTCAACTACTTGTAAGTTTATGGGTATAGTACCAACATATTCTTTTAATGGTTTTAAGATAATAAGGTACAAAATGTATAGTTAGGATTTTATTGACTCTGACATATCCATGGTTTTTGAGATATCGATATTTGACGTAATGAAGTTCAACTGAGAATTAGATGTTAAAAAACCCACAAAGATGATACTTTTATTTCTTTTTTTTTGTAGCTATTTAACAAAGCCAGAGGATAGGAAGAAGCACCACATAGAGGTGGTAGAGAAAGAGATTCACTCCCACCCCGAGCAGTACCCCAAGGTCCACATCAAGGACCACCCCTCCCCCAGGGAACAGGTGGAGGAGGTCAAGGAATTCGACGCAGCATACAAACTCCCAAAAGAAACCCCCATCATTACTTAACTTAGATGTCTCTTAGAAGAACTTATTAATATCAAGGATTTTTTATTTTTATTTATGTTATTTGTTTTGTACAATCAACTTTATTGATGATAATTTAAAAGATGTCTTTTTTAAAATCAATTTTGACAGCTAGGGCTTATACATGTGTAAAAGGGCAATAAAAAATGAGAAAAATGATAAAAACAAAAATTATTAAATAATGACAGACTCTTTTACAGAAGCAAAATCCCTTTCAGTAATGAATATATATTTCATGTTTTAAGTCTGCTGTTTAGAAATATATGTTATTTACACTAATCTCAGTCAGAAACCTTTATTTCACAATAATGATATGAACCAGGGTATGAAATTGTTCAGAATAAGACATTTTGGTGAAGCCATATACTGGTTTGTAAACACCTATCCCTGTGATATTTCAGTGCGCATTACCTAATGAACTTAACCAGTTTGGGAATAACTTATCATTTTTACTAACTTTCTTCATCAATTTTACTCAGTTAGTCAGATTTTGTTTGCATGTAATATAAATGTTGATTAGACCAAAATGCACTCATTTTGAATGGGATTTTTTAGGTCTAACTTGATGCCAGGAGTTTTCATTTTTATTTTATAAATATATTTTTTGGTTTAGCATATATTGATTTGAGAGGGATAGTGCAAATGAGTCTTGCATATGATTAGCATTAAAAGAAGTGCTTAGCAGCTTTGTTGAATTGTAAGTTACAGTATTATTTGGATGAATAAAATAAGAAACAATTAAGTTGGGTTTCATTTCTGCACAACATTGAATCATTATTAAAGGTATACCCGGTATGCAATTAACATTTTAAATAAATGTCATTTACCATGCCTATCATCTGTTGTACCTTAATAGCAAATGTACAGTACAAATATCATGCATGTTTAGTTATTTAATCAGAAATACAGTCTTGATAAAATTTTATTCCATGTTTTGATGGAAAATTGATGATTGTAATTCTTTCAGTGCACTTGTTCAATCACTGTATTTTCACAGTAGGTTTTAGTTTGATATTTGTAAGTGTAGTGCTACATGTGTGTTGAAATATGAACATGGGTAATGGTTGTAGGAGTTAAACTATGAAAAATAAATGCAAAATTGATGAATTCAATCATTATTGAATGAAGAATAAAAAATATGTGTATAAATGGAGACTGTCATATCACACAGTAATATCAGAATGGTGAAGGGCATTAAAATAAGCAGATCGAATGTAATAACGTGTATTCAAACTTGAGAAAATGTTCATTGAAAATATAACTCATGGGAAATGGGTTTCAAATTATATCTGAAATGAATGAGTTGCAATTTACTTACGAATTCAATATTGTGTGTTTTGATGATTTAAAATACATATCAGTTGTTTTAATTTATAATGTATTTACATCCACTAAATTTTTTCTCCTTTATTTCTTAAGAAAATCCATTGCGTTAATCACTGCATGAACTACATTAGGCATGTCGCCTGTACAGATTTCTTGATCAGTGGCTGTTCCATCAATGAAACATATAAAGACGTTCACATCATTAATACAATAATTAAACTTTTTAATCCTTCTTTAAATGACTATTTAAACAGATTTAAATGTAAACAATAAAATGTCTTTCTTTGTTTGTTATTACTGGAATTAACGGTCGCAGCTATTGCAGAAAAAATTTACATAACCCGCTTACGCTTGTTATGTATTTTTTCTGCAACAGTTGCTTCCATTTATTCCAGTAATAACAAACAAAGAAAGCATTTTATTGTTTAAGTATTTTCTTATCATTAACATAGAATTCAGATGAAGACAGAATCTTTAGATTTGTTAATCTACCTTTTACTATGACTTTGTTATAGTTCTTTTCTTCTTTACGGTCTTTTTCTATTTTTGTTTTTGTCGGCTAAAATGTTGAAAGTAATTTTTATGACAATTTAAAGTAAATATTCGAATTTCGTATAAGAAAAAAACAAATGTTTGCATTCTGTTGTCTTTGATTACTAATACAAGCGACTTTGTTATAAAATGGCATTTATGTACAGTATAAATACATAAATGTACATGAAAAGTACCTGTCTAATCGACAGAGGCAATGCTCAACAAGATTTTTGTGAGTTGGAAATTTTTTTTTATTTTATATCACCTGTGTATTAGTTTGTATAGGCTTGTATATAGTACATAATAATTATATACATTTAAATCTCCTGTTGACTGTAATGTTTCAACTGTTGAACAATAAATAGTTACAGACCATGTAGTTATTTGTTTATAACAAAAAATTGAGAAGTCATTGTCAGTTGTCACAACTGTTGTCTGGCAGCATTTGAAAAGTAATATTTTGGAATTTGGAAAAAAAGTTTGAAATTCTATTACAAACAAAAGTTTATGGAAAGAAAGAGGGCGCTTTAGATTGCCATTCGGCAGGAACAGTGGCTCATAAAAAGAAAAAAAAATGGCATTTATAACTTTTTTTCAAAATCTAGCCATTGACTGTGTTATAGGTGAATGTAATTGAATATGTATTATTTTATTTGAATACGCACCTGAATATAGCCGAACGAATCCATTTATGCAAAAATCGATTCTTTTACCTGTTTTTCCATTAATTTTGTTGTTTCTGGGTCTTCTCTTCATGAATTTCAAATTCGTTATCAGTGTATTTTTAGTCGTAAAATATACTCCAGTTGTTTGAAAAAATGGAGAGACGACCCAGAAATACCCAAATCTAAACTTTTTCCATTTATTTTCTGGCAGAAAATTGAAAATATCCATGTAGTTTTGGCTATACACAAGAGTATACACTACAAACGAACAATTTTTAAAACGAGACTTTCTTTTGACAAATAAGTTGAAGAAGCAAGAATATCAACAGTTTCGTTCAAAGCAAATTCTGTATACAATGACCTTGTCAGCAAATACATAGGTATATACAGGCAAAAAGGTACATGTTTAAAAACATTCTTCAAAATATAGCAAAGCCATGATTTGTCGTATTAATATGGAAGCATCCTCAGATAGTGTAGATTCAAGATGGTTCAAATCATAACACCTGAGAGTAAGTTGGTCTACAACAGGAAATTAAGTTTTACATAGGAATTTTTGAAAGAAACATCTGCTGAGAAAGAACCAGCAGGTCCGATAGTGACTTAGATAAGGGTGTGGCCCATGCGATTCTTCTTATCCAATGTTAAGGTGTTCTCTTGTGGTATAATCTTTGAAATAACTTGCCAATGGAAAGATCTTTTGCGCTTTTAAAGATATATACCACGAACAAATTTTATTATCTAAAACAAAAAAATATTTACACGTATTTTTTAAATTTTTCTCTCAGTTGAAATGTAAATAAGAAATTTTATTTGTGTAAAGTGTCAAGATACACACTTGAGAATGCTTCCAATAACTTTGAAGCAAGAAAATTGAATACAAAAAAAATATAGTGAACTGTAAAGTTGCATTTTTGCACCTTTTTTCCAAATTATGTGGCTTGGTTAAACATATGGAATTATTTATTATTATTGATAAAATAGATAACACTTCTTAAGTGAGAAAAATACCTTATCCATGCAGCAAAGATATATCTGAATTTGGAAGAAAAAGTTTATTTGTGTTATTTATCCACAAGACATTTTTTAAATACGAAAGAGCTTAAACTGTAGAGTATTTTATACTTCCTTTAGATTTGAGATAGAATAAATGGAAATCTAAAGTCAGTGAAACAATTTTTAATATGTTAAAGTGTTTTTAAAATTACTATAGACCATTTCAAACTACATGCAATTGTATGTATTTGAACATTCTTCGTAAAGAAATATAACAGGTATCATAAAATAAATAAAATAAATCAGCTTGATAAACTTTAAGTAATGATGAAATATATGGAGATCCAGAACAGTAATTAAGTTCAAAAGTCCATTTAAACAATTACAAATCAGGAGCAGAGCAAACATGAGTACGGACCTCCGAAACATCAGAGGTGGGATCAGGTGCCATGGAAGAGTGAGCATCCCCTGTCGACTGGTCACAACAGCCGTATGATCCTTGTAGTAATCGAGATAAAACGGGAAAATCCGTCGAATTGTTTTGTAAAAGTAATGTTTATATTTGTAATATATAATTTTCTAAAATAAAATTACAAATAAATATTGTAATTGCGATTTGATAACTTTACTTGCATCCCTAGTGACAAAAGGCCAATCAGGAAAACAATTCTAACAAGTACATGAATTGAGATCAGATGACACTTTCCTCGAGAATATATAGTTTTTCCCAAGAATGTTTTAGTGAAGCATAGGTACTTAAACAGTTTCCTTACCCAAAATTTAGGTACCTTAGCGGGCATTTGCAGAGGATACTAGAGGATGATATATTTTATATAATTCTTATGGGTATTCATTTGAATTGCTAATGTCACAATCAACTTTAGGTGTTTTTTGCCTATAAAATTTTGCTCAGAAAAATGTTAATTATTATAATTTCATAAAATTCAATATTGAGAACTTTACTGTAAATACCAAATTCACAAACCGAATATGATTTTTATTAGGGATGTCAATTTAATTCGGACAGCTTAGTAGAATAGTAGGCTTTAGTCGAACGATAGTCGAATAAACAATAATTAAGGCATACAGAAAACCTATAGCTTTGGATCTATAATATTTTTATATATCTTACGCTATAGGCGTTCTGCATGTCAGTTGTTCATCTATCTCCTTTGTGATTTTAGCTGCTCCGAAGAAAGACAAAAAAAAAAAAAAAAAAAACAATACAAAGGAAAACAAGATGTGTTTTTGAAAAACAGATGCCCCCGTATGGCAATATATCAAAGGTTAAGCTTTCTCAAATGCAGATCAAATATGTTGGTACCTAAAGTATTAGGCCTTTTCACAAGAAATAATACAATATCCCTAATGAGACCAAATTCTCTACCCTTAAATGTTTGTGAAGTACATTATACTCTGATATTACATTAAAGCTTTTTATAATGGAATGAGATTGTCCGTGAGAAAGTTTAAAAAATGGCATTAATTAAGCAGTAGTTAATTAACAAAGATAGCATTGAAGTCTATGGGGAAAAGCGGTTTTTTTTTCAAAATAAAAATTCAAATAATTTGAATATCAATAAATCCTGCGGTGGAAAGATGCATGAAATATTAAAAATAGAATGACAATTGAAAACAATTTTTTTTACCAGCTAAATATTTTTAATTGATTTTTTTATTGATTAAAAAGAGGAGAGATAACTCTTACAAAAATTAAAGGTTAAAAATCAGGACACATCCAACTATACATACCAATGGTAAAAGGGAAATATGTGTAAATAAATTGAATATTCAATGCCTACATGTCTGTTATGTATTCAATTTCATAGAATTTGATCCTATCAGGGATTGAATGCCTTAAACCCTAGCACCTCCTGTTCAAAGGCACCCTTTAATGACACTGTATCCCACAATGGCCGAGGTTAACGTTTTTAAATATAGGACAAACGCCAGGGTCAAGATCAAGGGTCATTTAAGGTTGTTCACGTTTCTGAAAAAGCCTTGTGTCAAAGATTACATATGGGAAGTATGAAAGCGCTAAACGGATCCATTTAGAAGTTATAGACAAGGTTAAAGTTTGTAAAAAGTAGGTCAAACTCCAAGGTCAAGGTCAAAGGGTTAAAGTTTTTGATATCCAATGAAAGGTCTTGTCACAAAGATTATATAAGTGAAGTATGAAATCTCTGGCCTTTACTGTTCAAAAGTAATGGCCAAGGTTATAACGTTTGTAAAAAGTAGGTCAAACTATAAGGTCAAGGTCAAAAGGTCAAAATTTTTCATATCCAACGAAAGGTCTTGTGAATACACATGTGAAGCATGAAAGCCCTAGCTTTTACTGTCAAAAGTTATGGCCAAGTTTTTTCGTAAGTACGGATATCTCCAAGGTCAAAGTCAAAAGATCAAAATTTTTGATTTCAAATGAGAAGTCTTGCAACAAAGAATTGATATTTGAAATATGAAATTCTTAGTATCTACCGTTTAAAAATTAGCGCCAAAGTAGAAGTTTGAATTTTTTGATTGATTGATTGTATACTGTTTAACGTCCCTCTCCAGAATATTTCACTGATATGGAGACGTCACCATTGCCGGTGAAGGGCTGCAAATTTAGGCCTATGCTTGGCACTTACGGCCTTAGAGCAGGGAGGGATCTTTATCGTGCCACACCTGCTGTGACACGGGGCCTCGGTTTATACGGTCT